TTATGGTAGAGTTTTTAACCAATTATATTTCAGCTAGCTTGTGTTGTCAAGTAAATTAAATTTGCTTGAGACCTTCAGAATAAACAGAGCAGGCCCCTGTGCACTGTAAGTGAACGGGCACAGTCAGGTTGCAATAGCCAATCAGATCTCGATTCTGCGTACCAAGGCTAGCTAGAAGGTCTTACGCTGAACTCGACCCGTGCGCGTTCGGTGATTGGATTAGCACTTGCTAGGGCCTGACAAGCGGCAATCTGGAGAATTGAAATAAACACGGAAATTCAAGAGCCAGCTGTATTTTTAACCCATAATGGCCGAAGGAGAAGACATTGATCTGGTTGCAGATCTACTTTCCACGCCATTTTCAAGACGGCCCTTTCAGGAAAAGTTGGATATCGTAAGAAGAGGTCGCTTAACCCCTGCGCTAGCTAGCCACTACCAACGTCTCCACACCAGCATTCTGGACAAACATTCTTTCCCAGACACGGACTCGATTTCAGGACCACGAAAGGCTGATGTTTCTCTCCCTTCTCGACCCTCAGCACTTTCAGATATACAGGAAAAAATTTCCACAAACAGCCTTCTCCAGCTTAACACAGAGCCACGGATCATTATTTGATCTTCCCCGACTTAAAACAGAACTGACTGTAATGTATGCCATGGTTGATTTTGAAGGGAGAAGTCCAGCTGATCTTCATGATTTTCTTCGGAGCAAAAATCTGAGTGAGAGTTTGGGACAACTTTACGCACTGGCCTGTTTGGCTGTTACTATCCCTGTATCCACTGCATCTGTCGAGCGGTCATTTTCAACGTTAAAGCGTATTAAAACTTATGCCAGAAACACGACCGGACAGAAACGGCTTTCAGCATTAGCCTCCATGTCCATAGAAAAGGACTTACTGATGGACCTAAAACGCGCCGATAAACTGTACAACAGAGCCACTGAAGTGTTCTTGAGAAAAGAAAGGAGGCTCGACTTTATTTTCAAATAAGCAGACGCTGTTGAGAACTATGTTGGTGAGTAAATGCATTTTATTTTCAATTTCTTCTTGTCATTGCAATATTTTCAGTTATTTGCTGTTGTATAGCCTATTCTCAAAAATGCAAACGATCTCTTAACTTTATTTTCAAAGAATAGTTTGTTTTGTTATTGTCTGGTTGGTGTCTTATATGAAACGGCGACATTGCGCAATTTATTAGACAGACTTGTTTAAGATCACACAGCGTAATTTTGGTGGCATTTTGTTTAGTATTTTTAAATCACCTTTTTATTTTTGACAATATCTGTGAACTTAGTTTCCTAATCTTAATTGTGAATGCATACTTGATGGTTTTAAATGCTCCTGAAATAAAGTGCTGCTTGACTAGCCTATATTGAGGTGAAGTTAATGTATGGGGCGTCACTGAAGGCCTAAGGTTGAAATGCACGGCCCGCCACTGATCGAAAGCGTCGTCCGGCTGTTTCCAAAGTTTATACCTTACTTGAAAATGACCGCTCGACGATGCATGATCAGGATGAACAGCCAAAAGGCCAGCGAAGTTTCCACTCCACTAGATTTTTCCGAAAAACAGAAATCAGCGACTTCTCTTAATCACCAGGATACATACAGTCAGTCTGTTTTAAGTCGGGAAGATCAAAATAAGATCCGTGGCTCTGTGTTAAGCTGGAGAAGGCTGTTTGTGGAAATTTTTCCTGTATATCTGAAAGTGCTGAGGGTCGAAAGGGAGAGAAACATCAGCCTTTCGTGGTCCTGAAATCGAGTCCGTGTCTGGGAAAGAATGTTGTCCAGAATGCTGGTGTGGAGTTGGTAGTGCTAGCTAGCGCAGGGGTTAAGCGACCTCTTCTTACGATATCCAACTTTTCCTGAAAGGGCCGTCTTGAAAATGGCGTGGAAAGTAGATCTGCAACCAGATCAATGTCTTCTCCTTCGGCCATTATGGGTTAAAAATACAGCTGGCTCTTGAATTTCCGTGTTTATTTCAATTCTCCAGATTGCCGCTTGTCAGGCCCTAGCAAGTGCTAATCCAATCACCGAACGCGCACGGGTCGAGTTCAGCGTAAGACCTTCTAGCTAGCCTTGGTACGCAGAATCGAGATCTGATTGGCTATTGCAACCTGACTGTGCCCGTTCACTTACAGTGCACAGGGGCCTGCTCTGTTTATTCTGAAGGTCTCAAGCAAATTTAATTTACTTGACAACACAAGCTAGCTGAAATATAATTGGTTAAAAACTCTACCATAAAAAACACTATTGGAAGCCACTCGACTAAGTGGAAATAATATGACGTAAAGAATACAGAGAATAGAGAATCATTTTGTTTACATATTTATGAAAATAAAATAACATAAATTTACTTTTCTTGAGCATGTTTAGGCCAGCAGAGAAGGCCTTGCTGGCCCTGACGGCCCACCACTGGCTTTTACCTTTTGCTTTTGTCTCTTCTTTTTGCACTTTTGGCATTTCTTGAGCCTGAAGTGAAGTTTGTAGCTTCCACAAAACAAATATTTTTTAGTTCTGTTTCCTTTGCGTCGTATATTTGATGGTTTTTGTATCTAAACGTGATTGTAGGAAGTAAACAAAGAAAAACATATTTTTAAATGAAAAGGTTTCTCCAAACTTTTCACTGGTTTAGTGCAAATATAAACAAAGATCCACATTTTTGAGTCTAATATAAACTTGTTTTGTGAGTGTAAAAAATAAATATTTGTATTTAAAAAATCAACATTTTACACTTTCAGATGTTTCGGACCAAATGTGTCTCTGAGGCGTCGGCGTGTTTCTGTTTTAGTTTTAGGTCTAAATTCACATCACAGGTCATGGATCTACGCTTCCATGCAGCACGTGAACAGAATTTAAATTTTTATTTTATTTTAACAAAAAGTGTCTTCGTACAGTTAATAGAATAAATGAAACAACAAAATGGCTCTAAATAGGAAAATAAGATACAGAAAATTAAATGCAATAAATTAAAGCAGTTTGCAAATACAAAATATAAACAAATAAAATCGGGAGAATAATATTTCAAGTGGGAAGTTTGTTGCCATGGTTACAGCAGAACCTCTTTTAGGGAGTTCCGTTTTATTGTGAAAGGACTTCCGGGAAACGCCGCTCTCGCTCTTTGATGCGCATTGACGGATATTGCGTCACTGTTGCTTTAAAGTCCGTTTCGATCCGAACCAGGACAAACAAGAGACAGATGGACCCGTCCGGACCGTGATCTGGACCCAACCCGGACTAAACCCGGACTAAACCTGGACCTTCCCTCGGACCTGGGACCGGGCCGGAGCCGGAGCCGGGGTTTGGTCCGGATCGCCGCGGGAGTCCCAGCGGAGCGGAGCGGCCTCAGCAGCCGGGTAAGAGCGCTCCTCCTCGGGCTGCCGCTCCCGGGTTCACCGCCGCGTCTGTGGTGTGCGGGTCCGCCGGGGGGAAGGTTCGGTCCACGTCAGCGGGGTTCGGGGCGCGCTGTGACCGGGGTTCGGTGCGCGGTGCTCGGGTGTGTTCGGGGGGAGTTTCCGGAGGAGACTCAGCGGGCGGCGGGGCCTCGTGCAGCGGGCATCCCCCAACTCTCCTCCCCCGAACCCCGCTCCGGAACCCCGCTCCGGAACCCCGCTCCGGAACCCCGCTCCGGAACCCCGCTCCGGAACCCCGCTGCAGCCGAACCCCGGACAGCAGCGGGTCCAAAGGCTGAAAGATGAAACCGGCACCAAAAAACAAACTAAATCTGGAAAAATCTGTCACAAAGTCTCATCTGATCGCGTCTAAAATGGCAGAAGTGTTTGAGTTTGATCCGAAACTCTTTGGTGCGTCCGGGGAACTTCCTCCTCACGGACCCGGGGGACGAGCTCCACACGCCGGGACAGACGCTCCGGCCGCCGCCCCGCAGAGCCCCGCAGAGCCCCGCAGAGCCCCGCAGAGCCCCGCAGAGCCCCGCAGAGCCCCGCAGAGCCCCGCAGACCTCGGGGGGCGGCCGCGCTGGAGCCGGGGGTCCGCGCTCTGATCCCGGCGTGTGTTTAGGTTCAGTCCGGGAGGAAAGTTCGGGTGGGGTTCGGGTCTGTGTTAGCCCGGGCCGGTGGCTCGGTTCTGGGCCTGGTGTCACGGTGGTTCCGCTGGACACGGAGCGGGCGGTAGGGCTTTTGTTGGCCGGGGTTCGGTGCTCCGTGTGCGGCCCCCGGAGCCCCGCGGCCCCCGGAGCTAACGCACTTTTACACAAACTCCTGAAAGTGACACATTTACTTCATCTTTTATATTTCACACTTTATATTCACGTGTAATAATGCCGTTATTCCACTTTTATTCATGTGTAATTCTCCTGTTATTACGACAAAAACACTTTTAATTAATGACGCGTTAGCTTTAGCATTAGCGCTAACCTGCAGCTAATGCTAAAAACACAGACGCGGCTCGGGAGGTTTTGTTGTTTTATTCTCTTCACGAAACTCGGACTTGAACATTTTAAACTCTCACAAACTTGAGATTAAAGTGTCCAGACTGTCCCCGTTTCCCCGGGACAGTCCCCACAGATTTATAGAAAAACACTGATTTGTCTCACAGTTTTGTACAAGAAATGTCCCAGTGTCTCTATTTTTGACCAGTTTAATATTTGAGAGAAACAAACACTGATATTTGTTTGGGTAAAATACAGAAAAGCTGCTTCAAAACGACCAAAACACAAAGAAAATGTGATTAAACTGACTCATGTTCGTCGAGAACCGTCCCAGTGTAAAATTATTCTCTTTAAGTTTTATTTTTACGAGAGCTCCGTTTGAACAGTTCTGATGATCTGGACCGGACCTTTAGAACCTGATCTGGACCGGACCCTTAGAACCTGATCTGGACCGGACCTTTTGAGCCGATGTTTGATTTTGAACCTTTTTTTTCCACATTAACTGAACTGTTCTTATCTCAGGAAGTGATAAACCTCACACTTTGCCCTGAACACATCACCGCCAGGTCTAAACCAGGACTAAACCAGGACTAAACCAGGTAAAACCAGGTCTAAACCAGGTCTAAACCAGGTCTAAACCAGGTCTAAACCAGGACTGATTGTTTGGGGTCTTGAGTTTCTGGATCGTGTTTCAGGTCTGTGTTTCCTCCACAAACTGTAAATAAACTAGAGCTCAGATTCAGTTTAAACAAAAACTCAGAACTAAACCAGGACTAAACCTGTACTAGACCAGGACTAAACCTGTACTAGACCAGGACTAGACCAGGACTAGACCAGGACTAGACTAGGACTAGACCAGGACTAGACCAGGACTAAACCTGTACTAGACCAGGACTAAACCTGTACTAGACCAGGACTAAACTAGACCAGGACTAGACAGGACTAGACCAGGACTAAACCAGGACTAAACAAGGACTAAACCTGTACTAGACCAGGACTAAACCAGGACTAAACAAGGACTAAACCTGTACTAGACCAGGACTAAACCAGGACTGCAGTATAACCAAACCAAGTCCACCTCTGAATTTAAATGTGCTCAAATATGGATCGAATAAAAAGTTTGTGACCTCACGTAAGTCCTGGTTTAGGTCTGGTTCCAGTCCTGGTTTAGTCAAGTCCAGGTTTATTCTTTAGTTTTATCCTGGTTTAGTCCTGGCCTAGAACAGGTTTAGTTTTGGTCTTTTTGTCCTGGTTTAGTCCCAGTTTAGTCTTTGTTCAGTCTGTGTTTAGACCCTGGTCCTGGCATAGTCCTGGTTTAGTCCTGACATAGTCCTGGTTTAGTCCTGACATAGTCCTGGTTTAGTCCTGACATAGTCCTGGTTTAGTCCTGACATAGTCCTGGTTTAGTCCTGACATAGTCCTGGTTTAGTCCTGGTTTAGTCCTGGTAGTCCTGGTTTAGTCCTGGCATAGTCCTGGTTTAGTCCTGGTTTAGTCCTGGCATAGTCCTGGTTTAGTCCTGGCATAGTCCTGGTTTAGTCCTGGTCTCTTGGGCTGCAGATGTGTCACGTGACTCAGGCTCGGTGATGTCATCATCAGTGATGTCATTGGTGCAAAAGGGGAGGGGGTTTCATTCACATGTTTCACTCACAAACCTGCACATTTAACACAACAAAACACACTGTTCCACCTTGTGATGTCATCATGTGGTGGTACAGGAAGTGCTCCACTGTGTTTTTAAACTCCACACACCTTCACGAGAAACATCTGGATCTCAAATTTAGAGTTTTGGAGACGTAAACAGGCTCAGAATGAAATGTGAATGAAACAAACACAAGTCCAGCTCTGAGTGTGACCAGGAACAACACAACAACAGAACATGAGAACATGAGAACATGAGAACAGTAGAGAACATGAGAACAGTAGAGAACATGAGAACAGTAGAACATGAGAACAGTAGAACATGAGAACAGTAGAACATGAGAACAGTAGAACATGAGAACAGTAGAACATGAGAACAGTAGAACATGAGAACAGAACATGAGAACAGTAGAACATGAGAACAGTAGAACATGAGAACAGTAGAACATGAGAACAGTAGAACATGAGAACAGTAGAACATGAGAACATTAGAACATGAGAACAGTAGAACATGAGAACAGAGAACATGAGAACAGTAGAACATGAGAACAGTAGAACATGAGAACATGGATTAAAGATCTCTTGAGTCAGTTTGTGTGCTTCAGGAGTTTTAAACAAAACCGCAGAAAACATGACATGGCGTTTTTCCTGCCGTGTCGCGCTGCCAGCTCCAAATACAACATACAAAAAAAAAAGAAAGAAAAAGAGAAAAGTTTGTTGTGATGTATTAAAACATTTGTGTAACTCCACAAACTCACATTTCTATTTGTGTTTCTGTTTTTATTCCAGTCCAAGATGGCGGACGCTGACGTGTCACTGCCCCCTCTGCACTCGCCCCCCGTCGCCATGGAGACGGACCTGAGCCCCCCCACAGGTCTCACACACTCACCTGTCACACCTCCACCTGTCACTCACCTGTCACACCTCCACCTGACTCAGAGTGAACGCTTTTCCAACAGTTTAACGTAGATCTGAATGTCCACGTTTACATGAGGGTTTTTGTTCTGAATTAAATCTTCTCTTGTAGTTTCCGTGTAAATAATCATGTTGAATTGTTGTTTGGTGTTAAACTGGTGAAATGTTTTTTATTTCATGCGTATGAGCGTCTGAGGAAGGACCTGATTTGACAGAGACAACAACAGATTTACGTCTTTGTGAAGAAAACTCACACTTCAGCTGCTCCCGTCTTTTCTGTCGTCTGGACACAAACACCATCCAGACTTTTCGAGCAGTGGTTCTGATGAGAATTGTGAAGCAGCGGCTGGAGAAATGATTTTTATTCAGAATTAAAGTTCTCATGTAAACGTAGCAAGTTTCATTTCAATTAAAAAGTTTCTGATCATAAAACTCGTCTTGAAGAGGAAGATTCTACAAACTGTTCTAACGTTTTTCCTCATCAGAAGGAGGTTTAAGAGTCGAAGGGGGAGGGACTTAGCACAGAGAGCAAAGGGAGGAGGGGCATTTTAGAAACAGTGAAAGGAACATGACGATGTAAACACTTTCTGGGCTTCAGTTCATCCTCCACAGATGTAAAAAAAAAATAAAAGCTCCTCTTCAAAACGATAAACTGTGAAAATGGAACTGAAATAATTTAATTTGTAACTGAAGCGTTTTTCCTCAGTGATCGACCCAGAAGTGGCTCTGAAGGCCTGTCAAGAAGTTCTCCTCAAAGTCCAGCTTCAGAACCAGGACCACTTAGACCAGGACCAAGACCAAGACCAGGACCACTTAGACCAGGACCAAGACCAGGACCAAGACCAGGACCAAGACCAGGACCAAGACCAGGACCAAGACCAGGACCAAGACCTCTCAGAACCCAATCAGAACCATCAGCACTACCAAAGTCCAGACCAGAACCACGACTCTCACACTACAGAACCCAATCAGAACCAGAGACCGGACCAGAGACCGGACCAGAGACCGGACCAGAGACCGGACCAGAGACCGGACCAGAGACCGGACCAGAGGGCGTGGCTGATCGCGGAGGAGGAGGAGGAGGAGGCCTCGGTCCAGACGTCCAAACAGTCGTGGCTCTTGCGTCTGTTCGAGTCGAAGCTGTTTGACGTTTCCATGGCGATCTCGTACCTGTACAAGTCGAAGGAGCCGGGAGTGCAGGCGTACATCGGGAACCGCCTCTTCAGCTTCCCCGACGACGACGCCGAGTTCTACCTGCCCCAGCTCCTCAGCATGTACGTACACATGGACACGGAGGTCGGCGACGCCATCAGACCCTACCTGGTGAGTCCCGGTTTAGTCCCGGTTTAGTCTTGGTTTAGTCTTTGGTTTAGTCCTGGTTTAGTCCTGGTTTCACGGTCTCTCCTCTGGTCCAGCTACACAGGTGTCGAGGCTCCATCACGTTCTCGCTGTTGTCGGCGTGGCTCCTGGGCGCCTACTCCAGCGACATGCACATCTCCACCCAGAGACACTCCCGAGGAACCAAACTGCGCCGCCTCATCCTGTCCGACGAGCTGAAGCCCAACCACAACCAGAACAACCACAACTGTAACCACGCCAGCCACCACGCCAACCACCACGTTAACCACCACGCCAACCACCACGCCGGCCACGCCCACCACGACACGCACACATGCACAGGTCAGTCTCTGTCCAGTCCCAACATGGTCCTGACTTTGTCCAGTCCCAACATGGTCCTGACTTTGTCCAGTCCCAACATGGTCCCCGCTCTGTCCAGTCCCAACATGGTCCCCGCTCTGTCCAGTCCCAACATGGTCCCCACTTTGTCCAGTCCCAACATGGTCCTGACTTTGTCCAGTCCCAACATGGTCCCGACTTTGTCCAGTCCCAACATGGTCCCCGCTTTGTCCAGTCCCAACATGGTCCCCGCTCTGTCCAGTCCCAACATGGTCCCCGCTCTGTCCAGTCCCAACATGATCCCCGCTCTGTCCAGTCCCAACATGGTCCTGACTTTGTCCAGTCCCAACACGGTCCCAGCTCTGTCTAGTCCCAACACGGTCCTGACTTTGTCCAGTCCCAACACGGTCCTGACTTTGTCCAGTCCCAACACGGTCCTGACTTTGTCCAGTCCCAACACGGTCCTGACTTTGTCCAGTCCCAACACGGTCCTGACTTTGTCCAGTCCCAACACGGTCCTGACTTTGTCCAGTCCCAACACGGTCCTGACTTTGTCCAGTCCCAACACGGTCCCCGCTCTGTCCAGTCCCAACATGGTCCTGACTTTGTCCAGTCCCAACATGGTCCTGACTTTGTCCAGTCCCAACATGGTCCTGACTTTGTCCAGTCCCAACATGGTCCCCGCTCTGTCCAGTCCCAACATGGTCCCCGCTCTGTCCAGTCCCAACATGGTCCTCGTTTTGTCCAGTCCCAACTCTTTATACTTGTGTTTCTTCCAGGTCTTCGGGATGAGGTTTTCTTGGCGTCTCCGTCTCGCCGGACTCACCAGCGCTCCAAGTCCGACGCGTGCACCGCCACGAGCGTGCACGGAGCGGCCGCCAGCGTGCACGGAGCAGCCGCGAGCGTGCACGGAGCGGCACTGAGGAGGACCGGAAGTAACCCCCGAGTGGAACATCTGCACGAAGAGGTGAGACTGAACGGGGACTGAACGGGGACTAAAACAGGACTGAACCAGGACTAAAACAGGACTGAACCAGGACTAAAACAGGACTGAACCAGGACTAAAACAGGACGGAACCAGGACTAAAACAGGACTGAACCAGGACTAAAACAGGACTGAACCAGGACTGAACCAGGACTGAACCCGGTCTAACCTTGGTCTAACCCGTTGGTGTGTCGTAGCCCGAGCGCTTGCGTCCGCAGAGAGACTTCGTGAAGTCGTTGCTCTGCATCGGGAAGCGTTTGGCGACTCTTCCCACGAAGGAGCAGAAAACTCAGCGTCTGATCTCAGAACTTTCTCTGCTCAACCACAAACTGCCGGCGCGAGTCTGGCTCCCGACCGCCGACCACCAGCACCACGTGGTCCGAGTGCCGCACACGCAGGCCGTCGTACTCAACTCCAAAGACAAGGTAACACACACATACACACACACACACTATACACACACACTATACACACACTATACACACACAAACACTATACACACACTATACACACACAAACACACACACACACTATACACACAACACACACACACACACTATACACACACACACACACACTACACACACACACACACTATACACACACTATACACACACACACACACACACACACACACACACACACACACACACACTATACACACACTATACACACACTATACACACACACACACACACACTATACACACACTATACACACACTATACACACACTATACACACACACACACACTATACACACACATACACACACACACACACTATACACACACACACACACACACACTATACACACACTATACACACACACACACACACACACACACACTATACACACACTATACACACAAACACACACTATACACACACTATACACACACACACACACACACACTATACACACACTATACACACACATACACACACATACACACACTATACACACACAACACACACACACACACACACACTATTACACACACTATACACACACACACACACACACATACACACACACACACACACACACTATACACACACTATACACACACTACACACACACACACTAGACACACACTATACACACACTATACACACACACACACACACACACTATACACACACACACACACACTATACACACACAAACACACACTATACACACACAAACACACACTATACACACACATACACACACATACACACACTATACACACACTATACACACACTATACACACAAACACACACACACACGCTTCTGGTCTCAGTCTCCATTTATTTATTTGTTTATTTATTGAGTCGGGGACAGAGGACAATTTTGACATGACTCTGAACAGGACAGATGTTTGTTTGAGATGTTGTAGCATCAGTGGTTATTTGCACCTGTCGTCCCTGTCGTCTCTGGGCAGGTGCATTGGTTGATTGTTTTTAATGACATGAGTTCTCAGATGTTCTTCCTGAGACCTGGAGCAGGTTTTGGGTTGATGAGGGAAACTGAAGCGTCTGGAGGAAACTCATCCAGACACGAGGAGAAACACACAAACTCCACACAGAACGACCCGGGCGACCTGGGGATCGAACCAGGAACCTTCTTGCTGTGAGGCATGAGTGCTAAACACTGTCATTATTTGGTCGGCTCCAGGCAGTAAAATCGTTCTGTAGATGCTCCGTCTCACCTGGGCCCGAGCAGAACCCGACCTCCAGCAGACACAGTTTCTCAAACTAAGAGCCTCTTTGGCCCCCGGAGCTCGAGTCACAAACCTACAGACCCTGTCACACCCCTTCCCCAGGGCCCGCCGACCCGGTGCACACAGGTCGACCTGGTGGATCTGCCTGTAGCAGATGCTGGTCTCTCAAATGAAGCGGTGCAGGTCTAAGTCCAGACTTCAGGGAAACTGCCCGGGCTCATTAACTCAGTTCTGGTTCTTTTGGTGGCCTCATATATTTATATGTTTTTCTTTGTGAGGTCGTCCACTTTCCCACGGGGGCAGGTCCAGTTCTGATTCTTTGTATTTCCATGTGGAGAGAATTGACAATAAAGACTCTTATTCATTCCAGTTAAATATGACTTGTGTGTGATCTCAAAAGTGTCACACAGGACCACGTCACACAGGACCACGTCACACAGCGAGTGTGTTCAGAGTTTATGAACGTCGCCTAAACTCTGGGCTCGGTCCAGGTGTTGGTCAAATGTTCAGGTCAAATGTTCACAGACACTTCGTTTGTTTGAGTCTTTATCCTCCTTGGATTTGAGTCACAGGATCTTTATCTCTCCTTGGTGTTGGAGTCAGGTCGACCTGTAGCTGCGCTCGCACAGTTCTTTGACGATCATTTCCAAAACCACCTGGTTCTGATAAGACGTCTCCAGTTTGTCCTGAACTCAACAATCCCCCCAAATCTGAATAAACTCTCTAACCTCACGTTCCTCCACTGACCAGACTCAGACTGTGACCTGTAGGTGGATGAATGTGACCTGGACGACCTGAAGTCACACTTGAACTAATCAGATCTGTGTCGTTCAGACTCATTGAAAGATCAGACACAGGAGCAAAAGGGTGAAAAATCTGATTTGGGAACTTCAGGCTGCAGACTGAACAGAGACTTAGTCCCGGTCCCCATCTCAGTCCTGGTCTAGTCCCGGTCTCAGTCTCGGTCTAGTCTCAGTCTCAGTCTCAGTCTCGGTCTAGTCTCGGTCTCAGTCTCGGTCTAGTCCCGGTCTCAGTCCGGTCTCTGTTCCAGGCTCCGTACATCATCTACGTGGAGGTGGTGGAGTGCGAGGGCTTCGAGACGTCTCCGGTGCCGATCCGGATCCCGGAGACCCGCATCAGAACCGCCAGATCGGCCGAGAACCTGGACTGCGGCTCCGTAGGCGGGGCTTCGA